TATTATTATTATTTTTATTATTAGTCGTATTACGTTTATGTTTAATACTATTGCTAGTATAAATAAAAAGAAAGCGTATGTAATTAAATGTCTCTGAAAGTCGAATAGATTTGCCCAAGCGCAACTCTACGAGCAAATAAAGTAATGTGTAAAAAATTTAAAACAAATACAATTTTTTCATTTTATTTTTATCTATTCAATTTTTATTTAGCTCTTATTCCATTCTGTTAAATGTTCCTCTGTCCACTTATCGATCTACATATATATTTCGCCTATCGATCCATTGAAATATTCTATGTTTATCTGCCCCTCTGCCAGTTCATTCTGCTCTGCCCATCCATCCGTCTGTCTGTCTATAAGAATGCAAAGCACTGTTTATATCAGATAAAGATTCTATCTGATCTAAATGCTACTGCTCTATCCAAAATAGAGTTACAACTGTATTTCCCTAGCTATTAGAATTAGTTTGATTATTTTTTGTTCTTTATATAAGGAATTTTGTTTAATTTCGATCTAGTAGCAGCTCGGTTCTGGATCTGAGCAACAACTTGAGACTGTCCCAACGGCTTTTCAACAGCTTTCGGAAACGATTTCGTATTGTCAATGCCATGGAATGGCATTTCAATGAAAATAAATGAAATTATCTTAAGATATACGCATATATCATACAATGTATCTATATCACATGTAACCAAAACAAACTGTATACTTAACCCTAGTCTTAGCTCTTAGCAAGTCTGACTTAATGCAAATGGAAGCAATCACTACGAATAAATGTTGACTAAATATCTCAAGAAATGTAATTTTGTTGTCTTTATTCTATTTATAAGGTTTATAAGGTAAGTAAATAGTCGATAATCATATATATTTTCAGAAAAAATCAACAACCAAATCCCCAATCTTTTGTCTTAGTCTTGAGTTTGGTTAACCATTCAATGTCTTTAAATATATTCATGAGGTACTACTGATCTCTCCATTTAGGTTCTCTTTCTCTCTTTTCACATTCGAGATTCATTATGCTTCGTACCTCGTTTAATATTACGCATTTCATTCGTTTCTCGTCCCTTTTCTGTTCCTCGTTGCACGTTTCTCGGTTCTTGTTCTGCTCTTGCACATTCCTCGTTCCCTTTGTTTGTTGGTTTCCTTACTCTTCATTATTAACTCCACATTTCCAACTGTTCCATATCCATTATGCGCTGTTTGTGTTTGTACCGTCATTCCACAGCTTTCGTTACTCTTCTTCTTGTTCCATTTTCACCATTTCTCATTTCACTTTCCTTGCTCTCTTGTTTTTCCACATTCCACATTCCTTCCCGATTTCTTGTTTCCTATTCCCACATTCTTCTTCTTTATGTGCCCCATTCCACGTTCCTCATGCTGCATTCCTGTTCGCAACGATCGCATCGGGGCTTGGCTTAAGCTTGGCTCTGGCCCATTGAATCGACATTTACATATCATAAAAATTATTAATACGTTGTAATCTGTAAAGAGACAGACTCAGAAATGTGATAAATAGATAGTGAGAGAGAGAGAGAGAGAGAGATATGATATGAATATTAGATTAGATAAATGACTTCTTCCATTGATTGCCTCGGATTGCATTTGCATGCGATTCGAATCGATTCGATACGATGCGATTCAAAATACAGATTAAAAATTTTTTTTCTAGTTTGAGTCGATTTGATTTCAGTGTCATCGCTCGCTGAACAAGGTTTTTTTTTATTGTTTATTGTTTATGATTTTCTTTGTTTCTTTTTTAAATAGTTTTATAGGCTGATAAAAACTGTTTTATCTGTCTAGTTTACCCTCGAAGAATGTAAACGAGTTAGCTGAGTTCGGAAACTTAGAGACTTAGAGATATATAGTAAATAATAATAATTGAAGATGTTCTTAAACATCGATAATTCTTAGAGTTCATTTAGTTTGGATTAGTTGAAACTACGAATTTGACATTACAGGGTAGCTGGTAGTCGTGTCTAGCTTCATGCGTGATGGACTGGGCGCTTCCCTCGGCTGTCTGCATGTCTGAGACCCTCCCCGCCTTCCCTTTGACACCTACCGCCCTGCCCCACCCCTCTCAGGCTGCATTGATATTTTGTAGTTCAAGGTAAGTTGGCCAGCTGTTAATTGATTTTTTATTTTTATTATTTTTTTACTTTTATTTTAATTTAATTAATTTGCTTCTTTTTTGTATACAAACAATATTTTCTGTTTTTCAGTCTTAGGCCAGAAGAACATCTGGCCAAGTGTGGTATATGATTGGTTAGTGCTCATTAAGCCATGATCATGGGCATTGGTCCCATCATTGACATTATAATTAACATTGTCATTAGCGTAATTATTAATTATTAAAGTTTCGCCCGCGCCAAAAATATGATTTCTCTCTCTCTCTCTCTCTTTTTGACTTCGAATGCGAATCAGTTCAAGGCCACGCCATTATGACATATGAATCAAATTATATAAATATAAATAAATATATGTGCCATATATGGATATAGATATATGTATATAGATAAATTAGATATGTATAAGAAACAAGTAAACCTGTTTAGAAGATACAACTAAATTAGATATGTATATGTAAATCTGGATATTTCTTCTTTTTTTGTATTACACGCCGCATCTTGATTTGGTACTCGGGATTTACCAGACGACGTGTTTAACAACAACAACAACAATTGCCCCAAAAATCAATAAATTAATTAATAAAAATTCGTAAAAAATACAAAAAAAGTTGCTTTAATCAAAAATTTAAAAATGAAATAAATAACTGAAATGAAAAGAAAAATGAAGTTGATGCTCGCAAGGAATGTAAGAGGTGACAAGATGCACACCGCCAAATACCCTGTAAGACAGTGATTTCTAGTATTGTAGCATAAGTAATAAGGGAAACTGTGCTTCTTTTTTTTTGTTAAGTTCGCTTTCAGTCTAGTTTTAAAATACCAAAATCTGCCTCTAATGATGTTCAACATGTAATGTCCAAAATATATAAATATTTTGCTCTGCAAGTTTAAAATCTCTCCACTTGTTGATATACAGTCAAGCATTACATATCTCTCCAATCAATCATGTCAAGTCTCCACTTGTCCAAAATGGTTAATAATAAGTACATATTTACAGTCTGCTGCAGAAAGAAATACCAAAATTGAAAATACTATAAAATTTGCTTTGAGTGTGGTCAGTTTACAACACTGCTTTTTTCTCCGCTAGCAACACGAGGAATTTGAGCCGCTTTTGGCTTAGTCTTCATAGGTTCTTTATACCCTAGCACTTGCAGCTGTTCCATCTACCCACTTCGGCTAATCATATGTTTACAGGGTATATACTAAAAAGTAACAACAACAATAAAATAAAAGCTCAGCTTCGGCTTCAGCTGCGACGCCGAAAGACCCAAGCAAACCTGTCAAAAGCCACCAACTGGCGCAGGCAGCGCTGTCAGCATAAGCAGCGGCCGAGGCAGAGACCGGAGCAGAGGCCGAGCAACGGCAACGGCAACAGCAACAGTGACAGCGACGCAGGCGTCACGACAGCAGCAATGACAAATTGGCTGGCAAACCAGAAGTGCGCCATGCACTCTTTGCATATAATTACGAACATGGTCTGCCCCAATCCCAGCTCTACCACCCCCCCGGCCACTGCCACGCCTAGCCTCGCCTCCTGCTGCCGCTGCCGTCATTTACAGTTGGTTAGCTGGCTTAGGGCGGGCGAGCAGCAACCTGTTGTTCGTCGCTGTTGCTGTTGCTGGCGTCGCTGTGGCAGAAAAAAAAATACAACAGATAACAGAAAAGAGAAGAAAACAGCAACAACAACAACAGAAACAACAGCTACATCGACGGGCACTGCTGGCTGCCAGAAAAATATTGGATGGCCGGGTAGGTTAACTCCATGCACACGGCATAAGTAACGTTCAGTCAGCCTCTAGAAGTCGATCGTGATCGGTGGCTTAAGCTTAACTCCAGCGCTCAGCACTCTCAGTTGTGCCCCACACACACACATCTCTCTACACACAATAAAAGTCTCCAAACTCCACACAAACGCACACACACAGCACACCACACACACATAAACACACACTCGCACATTCAGTCCTCCCCAGTGCCTGCAGCCCGAAAATAAATCAAATAAAATCGTCGTGAATTTTTTGTTCGTTTCGCGCGTTTTCAAATTCGAATCAAGCTCTTTTTTTTCCAAGTTTTTAAAAATATTCACACACACACATACAAAATGAAGTACTTCAACATGTGAGTGATTTACACATTTGTATATATATATCAATATATACTATGTATATTTTTAAAATTAATTTTGATTGTTTTTTTTTTTTTTTGGTATTTTTTTGCTGACGTGTTTTAAATTAAAAAAAAAAAAAATTCAGTTCTGGTTTTATTTTTAGCCTGTTCGAATTATTTCGAAATAAGCTTAGCTATTACTCTGTGCAACTGGTAATGCCAGTGCTGCCAGCTATTCTTAAGCTATTCATGCTGAAATACTTGAGTTAGCTGAAGTGCAGCCGTGGAGTTTCCAGCAGTAGACCCATATAACTCGGGCACTGCCAGTGCTACCACTTTGAAACTTGGTATGCAGCATCTTGTGTGGATCCAGATCATATTTATACACATATCAAATTTGCAATATATATATATATTTTTTTATAATACCCATTGTTGTTGTAGAGCTGTGGCTATTTCTATATATAGCTACTTATCTATAGGATTTGAGCAAACCTTGTATTTTAATAGTATTTTATATATTTAATCTAGCTACTTTCGTTGTGCTTATTCATTTTTTACTGGGTATTCATTCAAATTGAAAGAATTTTTATCTATTTTAGCTGAAGATTTCTTCTTCAAGCTAAATTAGCTGTTTATAGGGTATTTGCACGTCGTGTTGTTGGCGTGTTTCTTGTTTTCCTATTATTTGGGCACGACTTGTTGCTTGAAAGTAGGTGCAACAAATGTATGTGAACCGAATGCCTGAACTGAACTTTAACACGCCAACGTCTCAAGCAAAATGCCGAAGTTGATTATCATTTGTTGCTGTTGTTGTTGCCGTTGCCGTTGCCGTTGCTATTGCAGCAGTTGCCTTGTGACATTTGCCGGCACAAAGAAATGGCAAATGGCATTTCCCAGCTGCAATTGCCGTTGCAGTTGCAACAGCATAAGCAGAATCAACTTGCTGTGAGAAGCGTCTGTCTGTCCAGCGTCTGTCTGTCAGTGCATTGATTGAAAGAAATGTTTCAAGGTCGCCAGCTGATGCTGCCGTCTGCTGTTGCTGCTGTTGTTGCTGCTGCTCTACCCATTGTCGCCTGCACGCCAGCAGCAGCAACAACAACACAGTTGGCTGCTGGGCAGCTGGCTCTGTGGTAGTGTATTGGATTAATTACCAAGCAATTGCAGTTGCAACTGTTGCTGCGGCTGCTGCTGCTGCTGCTGCTGTTGTTGTTGTCTTATAAATTAACGGTTGCACTCTTAATGCAAGCTGACAGACACATACATACATATACATATAAATAAATATATATAATATGTATGTTAATCGCATAGCGCGAATTAATCACGCCAGCAGCAACAACAAAAGCAGCAACAGCAGCAGCCGCAACAGCAACAGCAACACAGCAGACGCCAGCAACAAGCGCCAATTTGACGGCAAGATCAGGATTTAAATTTAGTTTCGCTTGCTTTTTGGGGTGTTGTATCTTGCTTTTGTTGTTGTTGTAGTTTTGAGTGCTGTTGTTGTTGTTGTTGTTGCTGCTGATGTTGCTGTTGTTGCTGCTGTGGTTTTACATGCGTTTCATTTCATTTTTGGCGCACACAAATCGCTCGCATTATGCAATATTATTTAAATAAGAGAGATCAGATCATGTGCATGCCAAAAAGCCAAACCAGAATACACACACACACTCATTTTAGTGGACTTTGCGAGCCAAAAATAAAAAATTGTAGACAAAAAGACAATTTTTTGTCTTTTGGTATTTTAAACTGATTTTCAAGGACTGTGCGAATTGGCAACATGATGAGTGTGCGTGTGTGTGTGTGTGTGTGTGTGTGCATTTCATAAGCCAAATTCAATGTAAGCCAGCAATAACAACAACAACAACAGCGACAGCGACAGTGACAGCATATAAAGAAACTGTAACACAAATCAAAAGACTCAGGCAACGAACTTGGCTTGGCTTGCCGACTTGACTAACTGATTAGCCTAACTGCAGCAGCAGCAGTAGCGGCAGCAACACGTACACAATGCACCGTTATTGAACCCACTTAACGCGACAACAGCAACAACAACAACAACAACAACAGCAATTGTACACGTTTTTCTTTAAGTCATTCAAGTGTTCGTAATTGTGCTTTGAACTATTAGAAACGCCATGCCACAAATACCTATATACCCATATACCCATACAAATAACTATGTATATATTTAGCTATGACTACGGCTGTCTCAAATTCCAGATATAGTTGGGCAATTAGCATAGTGACCCGTTTTGCATAGCTGAGGGCATGGCTATTGCCAATCGAATTCGCTTCTTTTTATTTTTAGCTCGTTTTCGGCTGATGGCGTCATCGCCATGAACTAATTCCGCATATGCGAATCATAATCATGTGATAATATACAATATATATATATATACCCATATGTGCTATATATATATCGATGCTTAAACAAAGCAAAAGTCTTAAAAGTTTTTTGCCATTTTGTTGAATAAGCTCTTCGAGGCGCTGACTTGAAACGCAAACACTTTGAGTGAACCAAATGCTTCAATCTGTTGCTTCAAATACCCGTCAATACATACACACACATGCATACACTATRTACTAAATATGTGTGTATGCTAACTATGCAACCTATCCCAACTTTTATAATTTAGCATCTTTTTGAAAACTAAATAATAAAATAAACTCAAAACAAAATTTATTGCAAAAAATATTTCAATTCGCTATAAATATATATATATATGTATATTATTTTTGTGTAGATCAATCAATAGAGAATGTCAATAGTAAATTTTGAGCTTCTGTAGAGCTACAGCAGATACAGTTTTACCTGATTTATCATCCGCCATATCTTTTTGAATTTCCCCGTCTTTTTGCACTTGTGCTGTCAACTTGAGTATGTATTGCAAATTCCAGCTCTATAGCACTTCAAATGCATTTTCCAAATGTATTAGTCATGCACCTAGTGGGCGAGTCGGAAAAGTCTAGACGTTTTCTCAGACGAGGGTATACACGGTGTTCAGTCAAGTTTCAGGTGTCTAACTTCAATAGCGACCAAATGGTTTGCAGACGGACGGACGGACGGATGGACGGACAGCAAGACGGACTTAGCTCAAAACCAATATAAATTATTCATTTCCCTTTCATGAACAATATGAATAACTATAAAAACTATTTTAGCTCAATTCTGACAACTTGCTAAAAATTTGAATTCTCTAATACTTGTTTAAAAAAAAATTAATTTTTAGCTGAGAGTGCAAAAAATAATTTAATAAATAAATTTTCAATTTAATTTGATTTTTTTCTTTCTTCATTTTAAATAACATATTTCATAATACATAAAAATTCAAATCATATTAATTACGAAATGGAACCAGTTCGGTTCACAGGCCACGTATAAGAGTGAGTGAGCGTATAAGAGTGCGAGTATAGGTTGGTATAAGACAGCAAAGGGGATGCATGCAGCTGCTATTAGAGGGTATGTGAATAGTCGGTAGCTGCTCTTATTATTATGGTATCTATAATGATGGTGAGATGCTGCTGATGATGATGTTGTTGACAATGATGATGATGATTATAATGATGTGGCATCATTGAGCATGTGGTTCCGCCTTCCACTTATTGATTCTTGACAGCTTTGCTTATCATAAATTTGCAACTAATGCTGCTCTTATATAACGAGGCTTGGCTTAGAAATGTGTGTAAGTGTGTATGTGTGTGTGTGTGTGTATAGCATTGTCTTTAATAGTTTTTTTGCCCCCCTCCCCAACGATCTAGCTTTATAAAATGCCAAAAAGCAAACCGGTTGAGCTCAAAGCCAAATGTCATATAGACTTGGACATGGCTTGACTTGAATTTCGATTGAGAAGTGAGCAGAAGCAGCAGCAGCAGCAGCAGAAGCAGCAGCAGCAGCAATTACAGCAGCAACAGCAACAGCACAAGCAACGGCAGCAACAACAGCAACTGTTATTGATTCCAGGCACGGCAGCAACACGCACCCACAACAACAGCAACACGCCTTTCACCTTTCCATGAGGCTGCGGTTGCATAAGTCCAATTGAAATGCACAGAGTCGCTTGGACATGCCACACGGTTGACCCTAATCAATGCGAAAAGATGCAACCCGCCGGCGACAGCAACAACAGCAACAGTAACAACAATAGCAACAGCAATAACAGCTAACGGCAATTGCAGCTGTTGTCTTCGCTAGCTGGGCGACTGTGGGCTGTGGGGCGTGACTGGGGCCTCTCCCTGCTCAGGCAGCTGTATTTGAATGTGGCTTGCACATTTTACCGTTATTAACCAACCAGCAGGCGCGCATTCAAATTTATTCTGGCTACGAGCAACAGGTTTCCATTGCTGCCTTTTGCATAAGCACCTGTTGCCCAAAGGAGGGGGGAGGGGGGTGAGGGGGTGGTCTGTACCTGTACCTGTACCTGTTCCTGAACCTGCACCTGTGTGGGTGTGCCTGCTTACACAGTGCTACTAACCTTAGCCTATGTCTAAGCGGGCGCGCGTCCAGGCCAGAAGTATTTCAAAACAAGTTCGCTGCCTAAGTCTTTTGTTTCATTCTGCGCTAACTTATAAATTTGAAATCGAAAGTGAATGAGAAAAAAAAGAAGCAAAATGTGAAAAATAAAAGCTAAAACCCGTTTAGCTGACCTTTAAGCATTAATAATTGTTAGCACAGCGGCGCCAAAAGAGGAAGAAGAAGCAGCAGCAGCAGCCGTCGAGGCATACATATCTTTATGGTCTAACTGATATATATGTATATAGTAGTAGATAGATATAGTTATATATGAGACGTGTTTATGTCTTTTTTTTTATTAACCAAGTCCGGTTCAGGTTCTCAGCACAACCCGTTCGACCAGACTGTAAAGATATCATATGCATATATACTTATATATAAA